TTATATCGACCATAAAAATTTTTAGTATGTTTTTCCTTATTACCTTGTTTTTTACATTCTGTCTGACCATAATTGTCTTATTATCATGTATTTACAAGGCATTAAATAAAGAAAATAATATTCTAAATAAGCTTGATTAAGAAAAAAATATAAAATATACAAATTATTTAAGTTCTAGAGTCCAGCACCCAGTATATACAATGTCCCCTTACTCTTTAAGGAAAAACTAAATCATAATATGACAAACTTCCTATACTTTCTTGAACTCAATGGAAACCTAACAATCTTTTTCCTGTAAAGGTCATTTACACTTAACGAAAAATAAAATATATGCATTATGAATTGAATAAAAACAACTTGCAACACAGCTTCTAATGAACTCAGGCATCACTTGTACAATATCTTTTATAATATTGTTGTTATTTACACCTTGTTAAGAGTCTATCCTACATTTGTATAAATGAAAGTAATTGACTACAAAATAAGTAATTTTAAGAATGTTATTCGATTGTATGTAAATATGCCTAATTGTAAAATAAACTGAAATTACGTAATAAAACAGTTAGTTCAATGCTCTACAAAGAAACAATACAACATATTATGTAAACAGATTATTTACATAAATATTCATATATAAACAAGACAATTTATATCAAATCCAAATTTTCATGCTACCGTAAACGCACAATAAGACTTTTGTATACAAATTGTTAAAATAATAATTACATAATGATAGTGAAATCTCTGACACGTTAATTACGTACCTACCTAAGTACGTGTAAATAATACACAAACATTCACAGTTTGTGAGAAAAAAATGATGACTCGATTTTGATTCATAAAAGTTATTTACATACGTAATAATTTAATTTACGATTCATCTGTGCAAATAATCATACGCAAACAAAACAATACCACGGTAATAAATATGCAAATAAGATTATTACTACAAAGTATATATAAGTATAGTATACATTTATGGTAAAATTAGATGTAGAAAACCATGTTGTTATCATATTATCACAGTAGCTATGGTATTGCAAATAAAAAATAAATTATTTGTACTAAGCACCTTCAATAATGTCGTTTAGCTTTCTTTACATTTAAAACTGTAACAATATAGTATATAATTTCAAGTTTACCGTTTAACGTTTAATCAGTGTTTCACGATTATTCATATCACAGGTATTTCAGTGAAGATTGAACAGGTTTCCTGTATCTGTCTTAAAAACACGTCACACGTCATAACAAGGGTTGCATATCGTCAAAGTTCGCAAAACCTCGTGCAAAACGAAATTGTCCGTCTCTTTCGTACTTTGAAACAAGCAGATCATACCACCCTATCGAATTTCTCTACGTCACCAGGTTTACAACTACACGTTGTTCGGATCAGTCAGTACGTATTTATAACTTGCGCTGTTCGGTCGTCATTTAAAAATTGCATTGTTGTGTGTTTTTGTAATTAAATAAATATTGTTATTTATCAAATTTTTGACTGGAAAGGAGGGAAAAATGGCGAAGGTAAACTTATTTTTGCTGATTTTTTTTATGCGCCTTTATTGACTTTGTGCACTTTTTTTGTATTTTCGCTATAATCGTGCCACCCGGTGACGTATGTCGTACGACCAGTGATAAGTCTGCATAAGAATAATAAATAATTACACAACATTGAACTGCATGTGAATATAAACATGTTAGCAATTGTATACTTTTAATTACAAAAAATTAAATCTGTGTTAAACCATACGTGCCGTATCTTCACATTGTTAGAATTGTTTGAATGTTTTTTTAAAATACGAATAATAACATTTATAGACTTCAGAAAATTTATTTTGTTTTATTATTGTCATTATCAACTTCTTTTTTATTACTAAACTTTATTTTTATTTACAAATAACTACGTATACATCGGATAAACTAACGGAAATCCGAATCGGATGTTTAAAAAAAGCACGAGGCTAGTGTTTATGACCTTAAACTTGGCCTATTTCCTATTTCTGTCTAAAATATTGGGAAATAGGGACAAATTTTCCATAACAAGGCAACACTTTCATCGAAAAGTCAAATCAATACTGAAAACCGGGAACCTGTCAAGTCAAAAAATCAGTGTTGTTTGTTCTAGAGCGTTTTCGAGTGATTTTTATTCAAAATCTAATGTCGTTTTTCATTAAAAACACATTGAGTCGAATTCGTAATTGTTTAAGCATTTGCAGGGAGATGAATAAAAGCGACCTTTTGGTAAGATATCATTATAATTAACCAAAAATGTTGTTGCTTTTGCATCGGTGTTATATCCTATGGATTTTCTTTCTTACAGCCTTATTTATAGGAAATAATGCCCGTAACTGATAATAAATAGCCTTGTTGTCGCCTTGGAAGCAGATTTTATTAAGTTTTTGCGGATTTGTGTTGCAATTATATCTTTAAGTCTTCTTTAATAATGCACAGTTTTTATGAATTTTCTTTTATATTTTGCGCTCTGATATTTCTTACTTAGCCTTGACAAACATTGTAAACATTGTTTACCTCAATTTGTAAACGACTTTGTTCCTTAAAAGTCCGTCAGTTGAATCCGTCAGAATGTATTTATATATTTTTCTGCAACTTAATTTTTAATGGAGGATAAAATGTGGTATTATCCTCTTAATGACGTAAGTTTAGCGTGTTTTTATGAGTAATGGCAGAGCGAAAATATAAACCCTTACACCATAGATCATTTATAGAGGAAATAGATTTTTAAACGAAAAGTAATTTAAAAAATTTTTGTGTTTTAAAATAAGCTCTTAAGCACTTGTCAGTTCTATACATCATCTTCATCAGGCAATCGCAGTCCACTGCTGGACATAGGCCTCTCGCAATGTGCGCCATTTCGCCTGGTCCTCAGCTTGTTACATCCATTTCTCGCCAGCTACCTTTCACAGGTCGTTTCTCCTCCTCACCAATTCATTTTTTATAACACGCCTAAGTTTCAAGTCCCACCATTTATGTTTGCTAAACAAATTAATTTGTGAATGTGAATAATAATTTTATAAATAAAAATAAAACTCGTGTTTTACAAAATAAACTTACTTAATTAAATTTTTATTGAATTGATATTGAATTATTTTTTGTGAAATTACTCCACTAGTTTGTTATAATTATTAATACATAGATCGGACACTCAGAAAAAAATCCTTCGATCCGGTCGGATTCGAACCGACGTCTTCTTGCATACCGTGCCAGACGCTATACCAACTAAGCCACGGAACGAACCAACGGACCTCACGAATTTTTCTATGTGCTTGCGTCGTGTCTTTGTGGTCTTTCAACGACTTTTTAGTCGTAGCGCCATCTATGAGAAATCTATTGCAGATTTATCATCCAGTTAGTACCTTTACAGCTACCAGTCCTGGCGGAGATGTCGCTATTTGCTGTATTAATTAAATGTTTATTGAATTGATATTTTTATAACTTTTTCAAATAAAGTTTACCCAAGCTTCAACAAAGCATAATCATCCTCCAAACACTTGACACCTGTATACTCCGAAATTAAAACAAATTAAAAATATTGAATCGAAAATTTTTATTTGCAAATTAGACCTTAAGTAAAATAGCAAAATAACCGGCCAGCTTTCGAAAAAAGGACTGCATTATTTTGAGGGTTTTTGCTTATGTTCTGCTAAATATTCCAGTGTGTGTATATTACAATAGTATAGAATAGAAATCTTTTATAAAAAGGCTAATTGCAAGATCTTGACTTGGCTTGTGTTTGCTGCAGAGGTGAGAATATACTTTTTCTTACTTTCCCGCCGAATAAACAAAAAAAACTATTGTGCGCAGCTTTGTACATTGTTTTTTGTTGTTTCCGTTTTAGATACTTTCACATTCACAGTTTAGACAATTGCAAAGATATGTAAAAAATAATAATTCTCCACTAACTTGTCAAAAAACATATCGACGATTGAAAGGCAAAATGGGATAAGCAACACTTGTCATACGTACGGGTCATATGGAATTATATGTATATACCATAGGAATCAGCCGATTAGCCGATTCCAAGGGTATATGTAACTCAATATATAACTAAAAGTGTTGCTTGTCCAATTTCGAATTTCAAGCATCAATACGGATTTACCCTTCTGGTCAGCTCAGCGACATGAAATGGCTCTTGGCCTCCAATATGAGTTGACACCAGCACACCCTATTTAGTGCCATTTCTACACAGTGAATACCCATACGCGTTTTCACATAGTTTCTTGTTACTGATTTTTATTGAAGAAAAACTTATATAAACTTCTTGCTCAAATATATGTATTCTTAAAGTAATATAGTAATCGGAAAGAGCTATAATTTAACAATGCTAACTACAAACATTATTGCGTTTACTACATTTTACACCACATTATTATCTTCTACATTACAAAATTACATAGAAATCTCCATACGAGGATTTTCTCACTCAACTAAAAGTCAAAGTCAAAGTACTTTTATGTGAGTGGAGCCTAAGACGATGATATAATGTTTGAAATCTCGGCTGCTACAAAGCAAAACCTAGTAAGGGGCTTTTTTTTTAAATCCTTTGTTAATGCATTACTACTCCCATAGTAAATACCCACCTGATGGCGGTGACAGCCGCTTCAAGATTCTACAATTTATCAGAGATTTCGAAACTTTAAAGACCTAATGAGGGCACACCTAATCTAGTTCGTGATCAGTCAAATACCTTTTAAGTCACTTTAACCAATTCAAAACATGGCAAGTATTTGACTCTCTTGTTAGATTTTAAAGCAGTTAAAATGTCTTACTAGGTATTTGAGTTGGCAATTAGTGGATTGTGGAATTTTACTGATACTGAAAATCTTGGTTGTTTTATTGATTTAATTAGTCAAACTGAATCAAGTTTTGTTGCAAATTTTCTAATGCAATAACGAAACCAAATGCCTAACAAATGTTTATTTTGTGTTTCGATTCTGGCTGCTACAGTAACTTTACATATTGCACTGCTATTACAATAGTGTTATAACTCAAAATGTGTGAAATTCAAGACTATACCATTGTTGAACGTAAAATTTGATTATCTACACGTCAATACAACCGTCGTTAGAATATTGTAAAAACTAAAAGATATCTACATAAGTACTTAACATAAAATGAGACACGGTTTATGTGAGCGAGTTCTGGCCAAAATAGTCCTTATTCAAAAATATGAAATTATTGTTTCTCTTTTATTTTTAAATATGTATATTTGGCAAGTAGGAAATAACTTAAACATAAATTTAGTTTAGTTTTTCGTCGATTCTGAGAAAATTCACCTTTTGAGTTAACACACTATTGTATTAACAGTGCGATTATGTACATAAACATTTAAGTTACTAAATTTATAAAATATTATGTAGTATATAAGTTGTGATCATTTTGTGACATCAATATGTATGTTAATAAGTACTCTACCTATACTCATTACTTTTTCACATTAAAGTAAAGGGCGACCTTGATTTGTGTTTTTGGACTCTCCTGTAAAATTTTGTCTAGATTACTTACTAGGTTTTGTTGTGGGGCACCGGATCTTGTTTGCAGTGCTATGCTAGATTTAAAAGATGAAAAAAGGCCGACCTCAAATGTTTGTGAAAGTACATGTACTTGCCAAGTTTTATAGAAATCGGTTATCGGAAAGCGCGCGAAGCCGGATTCGTCCCCTAGTTTACCACCCTTAGAGATGGAACATTTTCTTCATATTTAAATGGGACCAACACTGACATACCAACTTTCCAACAAAAAAATTGTCATCAAAATTGGTTCACAGTTATCGCGTAACATACATACAAAAAAAAAATACAGTCTAATTGAGAACCTCCTCCTTTTTTGAAGTCAGTTAAAAACAGAAGCCGATTCCATACTTCAACAGCAATTCAGGGAAAAGGTGTGTGACGGTGCGACCTCCTTACACCGTCATCCCACCTTTTTGTATCGCCTCTCTCCACTTGTATCGTATATTTTTGCTTCGTGCTCCACGGTGACTCTCTGCGCGATCGCGGTAGCGAAAACATCTACTTTCTTATTTTTGAACCGTTTACATTTTAAGATATTAATATTGTTGTTGTACTAATAAATTCCTATAAACCGGACTTTCGTCTTTTCAACTGCTAAAACTTGCTAAGTAAGACGTACAGAAACAGCGGGGGCTGCGGAGGCTATTACTACCCTTGGACCAGGCTACCACAGAACGCCACCAGCACCAGCAGCACCATTACAGGTGAACTTAAGGCAAAATGACCTGAGTATCAGACCATTAATGATGCCGCATGATGACTATGAAATATGACACCTGTTAAATATTAATCAATGATTAAAATCCCAATCACATGTAAGCTTGTAAGCTTCTAAACAGCTTAATTGTAATCAAACAGTACAATTTTATCTAAATAATGATAAAATTAGATTTTCTAAAGAAATTGTATCCGGTCGATAATGAACACCTGTTTAGCTAATCATAGATTTTGTGATAGAGTTATTAGATTTTTTTTTTATTTCACACACTTATAGCCCCGCACTAGGGAAACACTGTGTCGCGGGAGCCATGGACAAACATAGACAACCACAAATTACACCAAAACTCACGAGATAAATAACTGTAGGCGATACAAATATTTCTCCCGGCCCGGGTATCGCACCCGGGACCTCTAGCATGACTATCTAGCATGGTAATCGTTTGGCCACAGAGGCCACAGAGGGATTCTTTCTCGACTGTTTGACTCAAAGAAAGAGGCCAGCGCAACTGAGACATTGGCGTACCGTTTTCGAGTAATTCCTATCCGATCCCCTAAAAACCGATCCCCCCGGGGATCCGTTTTATTTTACATTATTTTCTTTACGCATCGGATCGCCAATGCGAGGGATCAAGAATAATTAATTTGTTCCCACCTGGTACCCTGGTACTTATAAGTTTATATTTGGTAGGTACTGTGGTACAGTCAACAAGAAAATATTTTTTGGGGGTTGTACTGGATTTTATTTACTTTAATAGAAATGAAGAACATTAACTATAGCCAAGTTCCTTAACCCTTTATTATTTTCTTAAATACTACTTAACACTGATTTTTGTAACATATATTTTCTGTGATAATTATGTCACTTGATCACTATTACTCAATAAATGAATATTTGATTTCAAAACTTAGTTTGCTCTTGACTGTACTTACCTTACAAATACAGTGAGGGGATCCGTTAGGATGCAAAGTAGAAAAGGGATCAGTTGGGAT